ATATATATATTATATACAGTCACACACATACATATTACATGATATATGAGAAGTTAGAGCTCCCTTTGTCACAAGGTCACATCACTGTTGTGCATGTGCAGCCGGTGTTATCTAAATAATGTTACAAGAACCTGGGAGACAATTGAGTGAGGGAATTGTTTTTCAAAGTATTAATTATCCAGGAGCCCTACTGAGGTCTTTATCATAAATGTTCTAATACATTCCCCAATCCTCTAGTTAGCCAATTTGTCTGTAGAAACAGGGGGTTTATGTACAAAACATTCATGACAACCAGAAAAAAAATTGTGAGAATGATCAGAAGCATCCATCAATAACTGCAATATATATATTTGAACTGGACTGAACTAATTAATCGCAAACAATATAATGTAGAAAATATTATCATGGCAAGCTTTTTTAACCCTAAACTGGAACATTATATAGAAATTACAATTTGTGAACTGGCAGGCTTTACATGGCAAAAGAGACATAGGGGTCTATGCTCTTCCACTCCATCTAGTGTTCAAAATGTAGTGTGGCATTACACACATTCACACTGAAATATAAATATATCTAAGAACATACATTTTTTGCATAAATTCACACAGAACCAACCTTCAGAATGATTCATAGTGCAAGTGGCTGTGCAAATTGGTGATAAATAGACCCTTTGTTATTGTCGTGGTCCAGGGACCCGGTGTCAGTAGTAGGATCCCTTTAAGCAGGGGCGTCCCGAGGCTGGGTGACACCCGGAGCGGTAACCGAGTGCCACCCCGCCGAGACGTCACTGCGCATTGCACGTGACGTCACCACGCGCGTGCGCGATAAAGTAATCGCGCGCATGGCAGTATTCTGATACCTGCCGGCGGCCATCTTGGTGATGGATGCCGGCAGATAGAGGAGGGGACAGTCACCCGGCGGGATAAGGTATGCCGCCGGGTCCCCTCCTCTCTCCTGATACTGTCGGGCGTTCAGTCCATGCACAAGCGCCTGACTTTTCAGAGGAGGGTGACACCAAAATGACTGTGAGTCATTTTGGTGTCACCCCTCCAATGGTGTCACCCGGGTGCGGGCCGCACCCCCTGCACCCCCCTTGTGACACCACTGCTTTAAGACCCAGCAAAACTCACCTGACACAGCCTTTGCCTAGGAAAAAATGGTGATTGGCCAGCTCACCTTTAAATCACCTGTATAAGCATATCACCAGTGCTCGTGATAGCGTTGTTACCTTGTGTACTTCTGCTTGACCCAGCTGATATCTGCTCTGTATATATGGTGTATGACCAGGCTAGTTTTGACCCTGCTTTTGCTCGCTTCTGATTCTGTACCGATTAACCTCTGATCTACCCGTGAATGACCCGTTTGTGTAGACTACACTTTGCCTGATTCTACTGGATCTAAGGAGGGTTGGGTCTTCAACAGAAGGTGGGGATGTGCCGCTCCTGGGCACCTCCCAGGTTGCAGCTCTCTAACACACCCATACAGGCACAAACAACAGAGATGAGAAGTGGGCCAGATGCTGCACCAATGTTCAGGATACAAAGGCAGGCAGGGGTGAAGCCGGTACAGGATACCGTGGAACTCAGAGGTAGAAGTCCATAGATTAATGTGACAGGAACTTAGTAAAGCACAGATACAAAGAGCTCTCTGAGGATGGTGATAACAGTCCACTAGATGGAAGTGCAGGTTTTTAATGGGAGCAAGGAGGAATACGAAGGAGACACAGGGAACAGCAACTCTGGTAAGTAGAAGTTTGCAGGGATCCAAAGGAAAAAAGTTCCAAGCGACACAAAGCGTCCACTTGAAGTGTATAGACACGGTACTCTAACACCAAGCCACAAGTGTGCTGGTCTTTTAACACAGAAGTTCACAGAATTGGCAGGCAGCCAAGCACCTTGGATGGGTGGCAAAACCCAGTACCGGATCAATGCTATGTGACAGCTATGTCTATTCTGCATACAAGGATTCTTACCTGCCTGTTCACAATCTTCTGTACAATGTGTGTGTACAGCAGTGTACAATCTCAGCATCTGCTGGGTGTCAGGATTGATACATTTCTAAGTGCATGCATCAGTATGCTGTCAACCAATCGTGGGCAATCAAGATAGCTGAAGATACCGAAATCAAAAGAAGACCAGATGAAGATGTTGGCACCAGTTAAGGAACCTGCAGACGTCACATCTCTGGAGCAGAGTATAGTTCTTCTTTTTTTTATACCACAAACTTTTATTAAGATTTTATAACATACAGAAAACATTACAGCAAACGGTAAGAACAAGGTGAAACACCATACAAATTCCAGTAGGTAAAAAGAAAGACATGTAGCCTCTTACAGCAATATACAGGTAAAGATATGTGACAAAGAAAAAACGAAAAAACTGAAAATGGGACAAAAAAACATATATAAGACCACCAGATAGGAGCCATCATAAGTAGGCAAAACCAAGGTTCAATAGAAGTATTTAACAATGGAAACCACAGAGAACCAAAGGGTTGCCGGCCAGAGACACAAGATAAGAGTCTGGCGGGGAGACTATGTACTCAAGCATCGGGTATATTAAAAACTCAAGAAGGAGGTAG